GTTGATTGTACGAAATATCCAGTAATCGGGCGCCGCGCTTCGGTATCGGGGAAAGATTCAAGGCTGGAGGTGGAATTTTTCTTGTAAAAATATGTAAAAGAAAATGAAATTTTTCGAGGCAAGGGGATTTCGGGGAGACCTCAGTTGCGTCCCTGTTGCAAAAGTGGTCTCGAAATCAGTCAAAAATAACTCAATATTTTTCGAGCTCAGAAACGATATACAAGAATGGGTATACCGTGCTGATGCAGCGCTTCGACGGCTCGATCCTCCAAATACTGCCGCTCATCCAGTGCCGTACTGTTGAAGTCCGGTTTCGAGAACTGACCCACGCCGGATTCGTCGCTTCTCCTATTCATCGCCGAGTCTGCAAGACAAACAGATTCAGGCCTGTTGCGCAATACTAAAAGCGCCTCTTTGAGAAGTCTGTACAGTACGCAAAATAACTCGAGTGCGGCTGATTGCGGCGGTCGGATTCGAGAATCTCGACAGCTGCAAAAATACAGCTGAACTGCACTGGAAACATGAATAATCCAAAGCGTGGAATTCCCTGGCCTCTGCAAGCACAACATACGGATGTCGGAGGAAGACTTCGGGAATAACAATAGCATGGCTTACAAGCACAGCTGAAGAAATGCTGGAGGGAACTGACGTATGAAAACGAAATGGGCCGGAAAACATGTGCGACAAATCCTGTCCGCATCATTTGCGCACATTTCAGTACTTTCAATCAGCGGCACCGAAAAGCAGACTCCTCGTGCACTTTTCAGCGAGATATCCCCGGATTTCAAGCACTAATAGATAAGGAGACAGGAAATAGCATAAAAATATGCAGTAACGTATTTACAAAGTGAAAAGTGGAACGGCTTCCAGCAACGGCAGCGTTAACATCGAACGGATCAGATCCACGAAGCACGAAATTGTGAAGCACCGCGCCAACCACCTCAGCCGGTAGCTGCAAAAACCCAGCCAAACTCGACCGCGCCCGCCAGAAGTCAACATTAGCCGTGATACGCCACCTCTGATTGTGGACCCACTTCCAGTTTAATTTGAAACGCTAAAACTTGGCTCGGCCACAAACACATCATGGAATTTCGCTGCAAAATGCACCCGCTTCTGCAATAATGAGACACCACACTACTCTGTCATGGGTATTGTTTCTCCGGGCGCATGGGCAAGTTCCCAGAACGCTCGATAACTTGGGCTGGGGAGCAGAGGGCGAGGATGGGGGGTGGTGTGGTGCTAGTTGGCAATTACAATAATTGGAAAATGCACGGACTGCACGTGCGAAGGTGCGTTTTTTGTATAGCTCTCCGCAGATTTTTGTCACTATCGGCACTGGGTTTTCCAGCAGATGTTTCTAGCTAAAAGAATTTCAGACTGACCGCCAGAACTGTCACGAAACATCCCTTCAAAATTCCAGTCTTCTAGCTTCTCTGGTTCCCGAGTTAGCAACTTACCCCAAAAAAACTTTCACGGGTCCGCACGTAGGTACCACGCTTACCCGGAGGCTGAATTTGAGCTCATTAATATCTATTTGGACGGAGAACATCCCTTTAAGATTTCAGCTTTCTAGCTTCTCAGATCCCCGAGTTATCAAATTACCCGAAAAAAAATTTGGCAGGCCCGTACGTGGGTACCACGCACACCCGAGGGCTGGATTTGAGCGGAATGAGGATTACATGAACGGGGAACATTCCCTTAAAATTTCAGCTTGCTAGCTTTTCTGGTTCGCGAATTAATGACTTATCCATAAAAAACTTTTGCGGTCTCGTACGTGGGTACCACGCGGGTAAAACCGCCCATGTTGGGGAAGGGGGCCCGTATATGCATGTAGACTAACTCCCCAAACTTTCAGCCCTG